AACAAACGTCGTGCTCGCCTTGGCGATGACGCTGTGCAGGCAATATGCGAGCTACAATCACTACTGGCGTTCAACGCGAAATCTCGACGTCGTGACTGATTATTCGTGAGCGAATGGACCGATAATCGGCAGGACGGCGGTTTAATACAACGTCGTTTAAGAGCGTATGCACCTTCCTACGGACGGTAACAAGCGTGCATCAGTGCATTAACGGTTATGCTATTTCGATGACGCTCCTCGAACCGATTCGAACCGGTTCTAACCGGGTCCGTCGCTGGGCCGAACTGATTGGAACCGGTTCGAGCCGAACCGGTTTGATTGAACCGGTTTTGACCCGGTTCGGGTCGAACCGTTGACATCCCAAAAAATAAGTAGCGATATAGAGATACAAGTTGTAGAAGCAATATTTTTTATTTTTGCTTGTGTTTTTTATATTCTCAATATTTTTATAACCAACATTCTCAAGTATGATACAAGCAATGAGTCTCGTTGATATTGCCATGCATATCATATATACATTAGTGATGATGCTTTAATAGCCTATTTTAATGTTTATAAATAAAATATATTTATTTGATATATCTTTTGCTGAGAGAATGATTAAAATGAAGACTTTGAATGATATGAATTCATTCACTTCTTAATTTTATTATAAATATATGATAAATAAATTATTTTTTATTATGATAGAGAAGATGAAATCATATCGTGAGATATATCAATTCAATCCATTTAAGAAGACAGGTTATACAACAAGAAACAAATTTGAACATGTCGTCGATGCATTTGAGTATTTTTGGGAAAGGAATTTATCTTCATCCCTATGAAAAAATCTACTTGTATCATTGTAACATTTCCATGCTAAATAACATGGATGAAAAAGTTATATTTTCTTTATCAATCAGTAATCTACACCAACAATTGTTCACAAATCGATATTTATAAGTTTTAGAGTTTTGACGAACAAGGTTTGGTGTAGATAGGTATTAAACACAATATTTCATAACGAATCAGAAATTTTCCAAATTTTTTTATCGAAGCATACATGTATGATGTGGTGATCACTTTATTTGGTGTTGATGAATTTAGAGACAAAAGCGATTTATCATTCAACAACGTTAGTTACAAACTTGAACTGACACAAACACTCACATCAAGTACGAAAATGGTTGAAAAGTAAGGCTATAGTTGAATAAAGAACTAGACACTTAACCGCATTGGCACCATACATCCAAACAATAAAACTCTTGAAATGATTACTGAAGATTCCTTAATCGCGTCGTGGCACTAAATCAGAATGTAAAACCAGAGCAAAGGACAGGCCAAAAGACAACTCTCGGCAATTCTCGTACAAAATCCTTGAGAACCGACTGAACGTACCTTTTGATCGAAACAATGCTGAGAGTGACATTCACACGAAGGGCACAAACAGTATCTGCTGATAGTTTTTATAAGAAAAATGGTCCACAAGTCGAGATCTTATTTAGTACCCGGGTGCGAACTGTCTCTACCATAGAGGGACATACAGAATCCTGCCAGGATTCACCGGAAGAATTTAGAATGAACAGTACGCGATCATCTAGCGAGATGATTGATTCCTTCGACCAGGACACGAATGTCTCGAATGTTACCAATACCGACCCGATGAGAAGTTCCGATAGATTCCCGATGGATAGAGAAAATCGCAAGCAGGGCAGAACATTGATTCCGTGCTGCCATGTGCGCCAACCAGCCAACCGAACGCAGCAACAGTAAGGGCATAGATGCTCGGATGTTGTGGTAGTAGTTGATGTGGTGATTATGTGCAGCAAGATAGCTGAGCACGAGAATGCGATCCAAATGCGAATATGATGCCCGATGTAACCATAATCTCGGACATACCACGGCAGGGCGAGGGGAGCTTGAGCATGAAAGGCCAGACATTTCTGTTTATTTCTGTTCATGTGCGTTCACATGTCTCTCCCGCGGAGAAGAAACGACAGAGATGATCCGCTAATACGGTGGCGTAGCGGTTATTGGCACCGGACACAAGGTTCGGTATGAGGAAAGCGCCAAGCGAATAAGCTCGCCGAAGTATCTTGATGTCTGGTAATGCAGAGACCGAGTTACGTACGGAACAAATATCAAGCATGGTTATGAGTGCTGCGAAACAGCCTCTGTGTGAATACACCGTACGTTGGCACAAATCCGAAGCCAGATCGCACCAACAATTGCGCGGACTCGAGTAACAAACCGATCGGTGACACTGGTGTGTGAATCTGATGCGCCCTGACATACCCCGGGGCAGGTGTCTTGGCCCTGCCCCACCCGACCCAGGCCACCCCGTCTCTCAAGTCGACAGAGCCTGGGAAATACGAGGGCGTAGCGACTGCGATATTCGATGGTGTTATGATGGTGGCAAGGCGGAAGCAGGCTGTGAGGCGCTCGAGACGGACAGCAGACGGAACGACCGCGGCGGGGATTCAGTTGAGCGTAGAGGTTTAGGTCGAGGTGGAGGTTGGGGCAGAGGGAGAAGGAGAAGGAGAGGTAGGAATAGGAGGGGGAGAGAGAGAGAGAGAGAGAGAGAGAGAGGGAGAGAGAGAGATTGAAAACTGGATGGAGGTCACGACGAACATATGCGAGTTTCAAGTGTGAAGATTCAAGGCCGCTCGCCGCTTTGCCAGCGAGGCCGGTCGAGCTGGAGGGCGGGGGGCGAATCAGAAACAGATGATACAATTTGTCACTTTTTCGTGGCACGAAAAGGGGCGGGACTCTGGGCCCCACGAGGTCACAAGGAGCCGAGATTCTGAAACGGCTCGAGTTGGGTGCATCGGGGACAGGGAATGAGGGAGGGCGAGCGAGCGAGCGGAAACAGATGAGAGGAGGAGGATTCATGAGATGCCCCTGCTGAAACAACTTCGTCGGGAAAAGGGGCGGGGAACAGCTCGGGCCCTCTCGCCTCCGACCAGCTAGAGGAGGCGGGCACTGGAACCACAGGAACGTGAGCTGTTCACGTGGGATTACACGTGTTTCAGCGATCCATGCAGCATGGATGTATTCAATTTGAATGTCGTGTCCGTCGTGCTCTAGCAGCCAGGGACGATGCAAAGAAGGTAAGGCGCAGGCGGGAATCAAATTCGCAGAGTAAGAGAGAGATTCACCTCACGTACTTGCGATGTCGAACCGCAACAGCAAGAGTAAGAGAGAGACTGGCCTGACGTACGAGGCGATGTCAAATGCTTAGAGCCCGAGTAAGAGAGAGATTAAACTCGCGCTCTCGCGATGTCAAATTGCTGTAGCCGGAGTAAGAGAGAGACTCGACTCGCGTCCCTGTCATGTCGAATTGTCTGTCCGCTATGACTCTTCCTAACAGCAAGAGTCAGAAAGCGGCATCGAAAAGGGACCTTCCGTTTCGTAAGCGTAGAATGTACCTTGATTAGCCGAACGAGAACTAGTTCTATTGGGTTGAATCACCCGCGTCTCATCATTGAGAGGTTGGTGATTGGTTGGAGACATGATGCTGAGCGCAGTAAGCACTTCCGCTCCAGCCCCCACACATTCCGTAACGTGTGGCACGTCGGTGCTTTCCGCATGGCTGAGGTCGCGAGCTCTCTGTGTGCACTTGTGACTGCCGTTGTACTCCCGGTACGTAAGCACGATGAAACATTTGATCTATTGTCTCGCCCCGAAAGTCCAGACTCGCGTTTGTTCGCTCACGGGATTTCTCCCCGGGCCTGGCCTGACCCACTCGGCCGTTGCTCTTGTCGTGGGTCAGAGAGGCAGAATTGCCATTTGTTTTACCTCCCTCGATCCTCTGCTGCCACCACAATATACAGCTTATTTTACGTGATCCCCTTCCGCTCGATCCCCTGTGTGAAACCTGGAAGGTCCGGATCGAGGACAGGAAACTGCCTCTGCCGGGAAATCATCTGTGCCACAATCGAACTCATACAATGGAGCGTACTTGCTCCGAACGAGCTCCGCCCGTATTCCTTGCGCAGGACATTGCGCCGCAACATACAATGTCCACACAGGAATCCGACGTCGTTATGTTGACGAAGCCCGTGCGCTTTAGGAAAACTTCTCTGTCGCTTCCTGCGCTTCGTTACGAGTGTTCGGACAGGAGCCGCTCTTACGTTGGCACAATTCGCGGGAGCGAAGACTCGGAAAGGGAAGGTCAGTGGGGTCCGATTCACAGGCAAAATGCCATTATCTTAGGATAATTAATTAATTAGTAATGTTTAAATTCATGGAGCTCAAGGTATTCATACTGAATACCTTGCCCGTGGGGTCCGTTTCCCAGTTCGGCAAATCCTTCCGCACATTCCATCAATTTCACTGGCGGAACTGGTGAAGGAGACTGTTTTCCATCGCTGTGACTTGTAATAACAGGTTACCATTCCACGTGTACGCTGTAACATGCTGTGACAAGTAGGAAACGGAGTAACGAAGTTCAGGTACGGTGTTTCGTAGCTTACTCGTGGGCAGTACTTCGACCGGACCAAGGGTTGGGGTGGGACGGAGTCTGTGAGGGTAGACGTACAAGGTTTGTGCTGTTTACGTGGCGGTAGAGCTAGAGGGACGACCACGGGCGACACGTGTCCCGCGGTTCCCTTCCCACTCTTCCAGCATGGGCGTCATCTGAGCCTCGAGACAGGCGGTTTGCGAGCGGGGTGGATGGGACGGCGGCCGTTCGCGCGCGCGAGTCGATTTCAAAAACTTCACCCCGTCGCCGCCGTTGGCGCTGGCGCGATGACGCGGCAGCCGCTGCTCCTCCGCGGCCGAGCGGCCCATGTCCATACTTCCAGACCGATGACGATGTGCCGACTGGCTAGAGACGAGACGCGCTTCCGACTGCCAGTCGTCAGCGGGACAGCGTATTTGACAGTTCTTGGACGATGTTCATGGACATGCAAAACACGAAAAGCTCGTGCCAGTTCAGTTCAGTGGGTAGAAGAAGGCCTCATGTGAAACACCGACTTCCAAGACCATGCACGGGACATTCACGAAAGATATTTTGCTGAAGCAATGTCACAGACAGCTCTCCTGGGAGAAGGGTCACGCCAGAAAGAACCGAAATCTTAAGAGAAAAATTGTTGCATGAAAATTGGGGACGTTTGCTTGGAATCGGTTGTTCTGTTCCACTGCAAAACAATCCCTGTCAAGATTGAACCCTCATGCACCTAAGGGCATCAGTGCACGCACTGGCTGTATTATACGATCCACTTTCCTGCCATTGGCTTGTTAAAGGAAAGTTCCAACCCGGTCTAGCCGCTGTATAAAACAGTCTGTACATAAGCCAAACGGGACACCTGAACCATTTACAAAATTCTGCATGTCGAAAATAGAACGACGTGGGGAAGGAGTCCCATAACAGGTCCAAAACTAATTGTTTCCAAAACGACAGGCACGCCCACGGAACAACGAACGAACGAAGTTCTTTGTTCTGTGTCTTCACTTCGCAGTGGGAAAAACGACTGCATTCGTTTGAGGGTTTTTCTGTGGACTAAACGCATGATCGTAGAAGGCGTCCTGGAAAATAGTGAGATAATCTCCCATCAATTTTGAATACTATACAACACACCGTTGTCCAGCTACAGCAGCATTCACATCACAAGATCCGCTTGAGGCGAACAATCAGCTCTTCCTGCACAAACGTCAAACGGTTTTATGTTTATGAGACGTATGTCGATGTCATGGACGCTGAGAGACAAATGACGAGTTGAACTTCTTGTCTTCTGGTCGGCTGTTCGCTCATAAGGTCTCTAGGCGAGGGGAGGGAGAGGTTTTGAAACGATAAACTAGTCAGCCCTTCCATGTAATATATCTCAGAGCTCCTACAAACTAACGCTGTGGTATTATACGACACAACAGACCCATGGAAGTGAGCTTAGTGTGGTTGAGCCCGTAATCGATATGGATAACAAAGCCATAAAGAACGCATGAAAAGCATCTAACTTGGACATGCAAAGAGCATCAGCGTTGGAGGTGGTGGTCGTAAAAAGACCTTGTTGCCCCTCAGTGGTTGTCCTCTCTCTTTGAGTAAAGCCTTGATCCTCGGAACGGTGAGATTTTGAAGCTCCTTGTCCGAATATCGGCTTGTCCCACCCTCTTAAATATTCCACCATACATATTGATGAAACAATGATAACCTGTTTAGTCACTTGCTCACGATAGGGACGCTAGCACCACCGTGTGGAACGTTGATGGGTCAAGCGTCAAAGACACAACGTGAAGAACCTCCCTAGACACACGCGCTATCTTCTTACATGGTGCTGTCTGCTATAGAACAGGGTTACTCCGTCTGTTAAGTTGGTGTTCGGAGTCCAACGGCGTTCTGATCTACACTACCGGGAACAAATGACCGAACCAGCGCAAGTCATGAAATCAAGTCGTCTTCGGAATTACACAAGGCATTCATGCAATAACTGGTATTCAGCACACAATGAGAAAGACTCCTGTAGAAAGATGATTGTACCTCTTCGACTTCCTCCGGAACCGCCGCTAACATTCACCCTTTTGATCATTATCTTCTCATCACAAGACCGCTCGGCATGTCTGACGAAGCACAATAAATTATAAGAAAACATCGACGGTGCTTCGAGTCTACCAGGGCCGACTGGTACTGTGCAGTGATCAATTCACAAGGATCATCGTTAAGATGAAAAATCCACAGCATTCACGATGAAGAAAGTCTTCGGGAAAATAGTGGATCCACACAACGCGGAGCAATTCTACCTCTTGCCCTTCCCATCCTCTGATGGCGATTTCCTCTTGTTGTCCTTCCCGCTCTGCTCTACTTTAGTCTTCTTCAAGGTCAGGTACCGGATGAGAATGTTTGTAGAGTCCGTCTTTATTAGTTGCTCCTCTGTATAGATAGAACAGACATGTCAGGTTACAGGAGCCACAAAAGACAAGCGCTTGAAACGATTGAGTCGTCACTTGTAAGATACATGATGGAGGCAGATGAGTGTATTCGAAAATGCTGCAACATTTCGTTTCAAAACAGCTTTCTTATGGAGGAGTAGGTTCGAGAACACGATCAACTGAGCATATCTATAGCTGTTCATGACTATCCAACACAAGAGTCCAGTGGATGCACAACCTGGTGGCGCTGTTTCATGGTCACATATGTATACCCGCAATCCTCCCTGAAGTGGTCACAATCGTACTCGTTAGTGCAATGTACAAAAGACTAAGGAGCCCCTTATTTGGACACATGATAAATGTTCAGGCCACAATCGCTTTGCAGTCTCACAGCCAGAACAGGTAACAAGGCAATCAGAGAGGGGTGTAGTACGTCCCAAGGCTCTTGAAAGACGTATTCAACCACTGGAAGTGGTAGTTTATATCTTTGATCACATGAAAGACACGAACTAGCTTGAATAAAAATGTAACAAAAAATAAGAAATAAAATCCATCAGCCTGTGAAAGTCAACGGTTCGGCCAACTATAGACCTGACAAATTTTCTGGCGTGCTGAACAACATTGATTGCTACCAAAGGTAAAAGGGAGAAATCCTGGTCCCGTTTCTCATATTCAAAGTATAAGAATCACGATACATTTGTCCAGGCACGAGCTACTCCAGTACGTGAGATACCGGGCCTAAAACTTGACCTCTTCAGGGATGCAGTAGTGCCGCCCCACGATCCAAAACTAGTTTTGAAGAGCCTTTCTTACAACATGGTGTTTAAGACTGAAGGTTGCCCTGTCAAAGGTCAGTATAGTTCAGCTTGTTGGGACATTCTCAGGATCTTTGCTCAAAGACTGAGAAATCTGATCCACTTGGGTATGCAAAATCTTTAGGATCTACTCATTCAATATTTGGAAACAATACCAGGTAACACACTTCTGTGAAATTATCTTATCAAGTTTGTCATAAGCAATCAAAAGCTTTTCTAAGTCTTGTTACTTTGTTCCTCGCCAAATCGACTTGTTACAGGTTGGCTTGTGACAGCCCTAAGTACAGATAAAGCACCCAAGTATATTACTATGGTCATGTCTGTCGACATACGCCTTCTTTCTTACAAAGTTTATTATGAAAAAAACATATTCGGAAGTAATTGTACTGTAAATTATAAAGTGTGGTGAAGTCCGGAGCAAAAACAACGCCAGAGGACAAGTTCTAAAGGGAACGCTTAATTTGCACAAATATAAACGAAAAAGGCACACACTAGGAACAAATAGCTCTAGGGAATGTTATTGATTACCTCCCAAGAAGGAAAGTTGTCAATATCTACCGAAATTAATCAGTGATTCTACATACAATGGAGAAAAGGAGGTCCATTTGTCACAATGGCTTCAGAAAATCTCGACGATTTTTTTAAGCTCGTCCATGATCGAGCTCAAAATCTCAATGTCCAGACAAGAAGGAATAAAAAGTGATACTTTGTTCTTAACAGAGCTTATATAACTGCTGTAGACTACATCTGGGCGGAACTGAATACTTAGAGCTGTAACTTGTCACCGGCATAGACGCCCTGGAGATCAATGGGAAGGGATTTGAATCGTAACTAAATAATATTTCCCACATGAAGACCGTCTCATACAACCATTCGATTGAATCGATACGGGGAATGATACCGTCAAACTATTTCAATAACAGTATTGGAACTATACGTACATATCATTCATGGCACACTGAATAAATCCGCATCTGCGAATAATATTTCGAATTCCGAAACAAGGCTCAAGCACATAGAAATCTAGTCCAGAGTCCCTTCCAGACATCGCCTAATGACAAAGCTCACCGCAAGTCGCAAAAAGCAAGTTTTCATTTCTCAAGTAATGGGCCCTAACTACCTGATTCACGCCTGTTTCAACTCTGACATCGAAAGCGAATAAAGAAGACAGAATTCTCCAGTACTTTTGACATTCAACATGGTATGAGGAAACAACCACAGAGCTTGAACCTACCTGACTCGCGGGCTGCTGAGATGAGGAGAAGAATCCTCGCGATGGAAGCTCTTGAAGGTACTGCGATGCACCCTCCATCGTCACCGGAAAGCCTGGCCTTGAATCTCCAACGCACTTCTCCTTACGTGGAAATCTTGCAACTCCAAAACCCGAAGCTTCCTGTGCTCGTGAAAACACAACGACGATCTCCACTATTAAACAATACTCCAATCGGCCCCTTTATTCCCCTCGCCAACTTCCAACACCACAGCCAGTCGTCATCGCTAGATCTTCACTCGAAATTACCCTCCAGAATTGCACCGCTTGCTTGTTTGAAAAATGAATCCAGTGGCCCCAATAGCTTTCCCTTTGTCTCCTACGACAATCGAAATGGCGCAATCGGGTACGCCCTAATCCAGAAGCACGAAACAATCAACTTTGTTGGATCAATCATCCTCCTCCTCTTCTTCTACTCTCGCAGCGTCGGTATCTCATTTACAAGAGAAGGGGTGCCGACATGCTCCCGTGCTTCCTTTCTATCTACAGATATGTTCAGAGTTCAGTCGCTTATTGACGCTCGTTTTCTGTTCGAAGCACCGGTGAAACGCTTTCCGTTCGTCGTTCATGGTTCAAACCATCTCATGCGCTACTATATATAGTCTACTGATGTATGATGTAAGATGTCACAATGGAGGGCTTGGAATGAATATTCAATAATTTCATTCCTTTAGATTAAAAACTATGAACTGTCACCTCTTGATAAGAACCTAAGACCATCATCAATAGTTTTCTTGTCAGAATTGTATTATACTTAGCAACGTTGTTCTTAACTTGTCATTCTATCTAACGGATCACATCACAAAATAAAACAGTAAAAAGATTTCATTTTCTCTGCAAAAGAAACAGTATAACCTCTAGGCTCGCAAGATTTTGCGACGATTTTGCAAGTACAACAATGCATGAAGGAAAACGTCAGGAGTTTCCTAACATGTTAGTAAAATTGGACTCTCATTGTAGCAATCCTAACATAATAGCAATTTAACTTCATAAATCGGAATGTAGCATAAACAATTGCAAAATGGATAAGAATACACCATCAACTACTACAGGGATGGAAACAAACGCGTGATATGTCACTAGCACCGATAACATCAAGTTTTCTATCTAATTCTTTTAAAATATAAATGATCAAATAGAGCATGTAAAGTTATTACTTATTATGCCTGCTGGGCTTCTTATACATAGTGTTCATTGATACTATTTGTAAAGAACTAATATCTTATTTAAACTAAGCTCAAAAAATAACCAAAAGAAGTATTGTCTTTGTTTTGTCGTATTTAATTAACTATCTTTGAATGAACAAAGTTCTGAAGAAGCCATTGTACTTAAAAAATGTACAAGTTGACTAAAACACATATATGTAACCTTCTAAATTCTGTTGAAATATCAAATTAGATGATATGCTCTAATTTGAGTGTTTGATTAAAAAAAAATTAAAAAATTTTTTCTTTCGACTTTATGTTAATAGATCATACTAAATTTTATTTTAGTATGCAAAAAAGAGTAGTATCTATTTCAAAAAGTTTGCAATCTATTTATAGTTACAAATATGAAGATAATTATTTTCGTAGATTGTGTAACTAGTCAAAATAATCATTTCGGTCATCAATTTTATTCATGAAAAATCTTCTAACACTACAATTTGACAAAAATAATCATCATCGCCACTATTTTCATGCTTTACATCACATTGGAGTCTGGTTGATCAAATAATAATACTGAATATATATATTATCTTCTTGTGAAAAAAATGTATGCATAAAAAAATCATACAACAAAATTTCATGTAACCTAGAGGTACAAATTGGAAAAAATTATTAATGAAGTTTTACATATCAAAATTTATTCTAGTTCAAAATTTGTTAAAATTTTTATCTACTAACCATATAATCTTGAAAACGTGGTGTTTGTTTAATTTAAGAATAATTACTTTGAATTGATTCTCAAGTCTACAAGATGAAATTTGATGAGAATTAGGTTATCATTTACATGTAAACATCATAAAATTTAGATATTTATTTTATTTTTAGAAGGTAAAATATCTTATCATAATTCATCTTGTGTTTATCATTCATCTAAAATCATCATATTGGCAATACAACACAAATATTTTTTATTTATTAATACATATTTAATTTATTACACAATACAACACAAATATTTATTTATGACTTCATAACAAATCATGATGGTTTAAAATCTGTAAATATAATATTTAAATTGAGTACAAGGAACCTGTAATGGAAAATGCATGAAAAATAAGAAGTAAAATGCCTTTACCCATGTTGATACAACGCCGACAAGAAAATATGTTTGTCACTCTTGAACTAAAAGTCTGAGAACAACAATGTCTTCACAAAAAACCTACAAAGTGTTCAGTGGAGCTGTGGCTTGCCCTATTTTATATATATATATATAGAGAGAGAGAGAGAGAGGGTAGAAAACCCTAGGTTTGATTTTAACGAGGATTGAACCTAAACTTAACTCTGACTCGAGTTCGATTAACTAGAGTTTAACATGAGTACACCTACCCTAAGCAAAGAATCGGAAGTACCACCAACACAGGAGCCAATCCAACCGATTACTGAAGAGGTTTGTGGAGTCTCGGACATTTTTTTGAATGGTTGGAAAAATCTGACGATTTTCATCCATTAATCTAATAGGGTGGCCCAAAACTCCTGTAGTATCTCTGATTGAGTTGATACTAACACAACGGTAATATATTGCTGATATATTAAAAAATAATCCTCATATATTTATATAAAAAATAATTTTGCTTAAAATAATTTTCAAATTCAACTAGAGATGAATGCACGAGAAAAAAAATAAAAAATTTGATAAATATCTAAATGTAAAAATTATAGACCCATCTATCAATAATATTGATAAATAATAATATGATATGATACAAAAAATATTTAGTCTGTCAATAAAAAATCATTGATTCAAAATGACCTTAGTAGTGAATTGAATTGAAATGAAGTGTTTATATATGTAACATTAGCAATCAATTATTGCAAAAAAAATCTTGACAGGTTGAAACATTAAATCTCTAGATTTAAATTTTTGAATTCTGAAATATACATATTGAAATCTTAAAATTGAGTTAATTTATATCCTATTTCAAAACATGCAAATTTTTTTTGGATTCTGAGAGATGAAAAAATCATTGCGAGAATTTAATCACAAGTACTTATAACAAAATTTTTAGCAAGAGATTGATGATACCCAAAAATAATTATAATAAATTTTTGATTAAATAAGGTTAGAGGGAAAAAAATTAGATGGTAATAAAGTTGTGATACATGTGATTTATTTTATAGATTTAATAAAAAAAATTTGATATTAAAGGAATCTATTCAATAGTGTTTTTGTAATATGAAGATCATGTGTTCAAGTTAGTAACTTTAATTTTACTGCAGTAATTTATTACTATGCTCATGATCATCATAGGATCATTTTACATAAATTGAATCAGGTTTAACATGTGCAATAGATATTGGAGTTGAAGTCATAAAATTTTTATTTTTATCTTATTTTCCATTTTGTTTATAATTTTTTTTCAAATGCTTATTTCAATTTTTTGGCAAAAATGATTAGTTCATAAATCCTTCTTTTGTTTATTTCACATGCAAATATCTTATTTAATTTTTAAGAGATAGTATGATTAAAGAAATGTTGAAGTTATTTCCGGTTAAAACCATAGATTGTAGTTAGGAGGTACTTGGATGCTAGATACCACAAGGACTTTATACAGCATCAGCTGCTTTTCACATATTTCTTAGTACACACTATCGCGCGTGAGTTTTAACCATGAGGTAGCACTCCAAAGTGTGAAACACGTTATATTTTGTGTTTTATTTGTTAGATTGATTTTTTTTTAATATTTTTACGAATAAAAAAATATATTTTAAAATAATTAATTAATTTTTTTAAAATATGAAAAATTGAAAAGTGTTAGTTATCATTCAATATGGATTAATTATCATTCCATCTAATATACCATGTAGAACAAAAATTTATGATTGGTAAGAACTATCCTTATGTTTATTAGATCTTTATGATACAATTCGACTAAACTAATAGATAACTAACCCTACCCTAAATATTTTTAAACTATCAATATCACATATGAAAATTCTAATATATCATCATATATATCCAGACGTGTGTGGAATAGGGCGATCTACCTAAATGTACTTTGTCTAAATTAGCGGTACGGGTTGGAAGAAAATGAGAGTGGTAGCAATGAATCCGTTGCGGCAGATGTTGGACATAGTCGTAGTGATGTGATGCACAAATCCGAAATGAATGATGGCTACTTCTCGTCATCCAGTAATAAGAGGACTCTTGAGGAGTCCTCTTATGATTCCATGTTCGGTCCTCAATGAGGACCTAACATGTAATCATTCGTTTGTGAATAAGTATAGTTGGTATCCCAAGACTGGCAGTCCTGTACGTCAGGCTACATGAAATTAACCCCATCTCCTGCTGTGGATGATTCGAACTTGAACCTGCGTCACATATTTTGGAACTTGACAGTAAGGGATTCGAAAGACCCGACTTCGTGTAGTTTTTTCTCAGGAGACACGTTACTAAAGGACAGCCTTCCTTATGGAGTACATCAGTTTGGCATTAGGGATAGATAGCTTGTTGATGGTCGCAGAATTATTATGGGTGAAGTCTTAAACAAGAAGGAAGAACGCTGGAAGCTACAACTCAAGGGAGCGGGTAAAACTCCCTGCATTTGATGTACTGATGGTCTCACTGTATCCTAGGGTTCTCAAATATTTCATGCAGCGTTCATTCTTTATCATAGACCATGTAAATCCAATTGATGATATGGGACATGAGCTTTCAACGCTCCAGGCATTTCGTTGGATCTTTGGAAGAGAGAATGTCAGAAGATCTCTGCGTGAAAACACCGAATGTTTTTGGTATCCTAGTCGAGGAAGTTTTTGATATCTCACCAACAAACAATCTGCAGGTTCATGCCTTGCATGGATGGAACTCTCCATCGAAGCGACATGATAAGCCATGTAAAACCTTCTCGTCTCATCCCTTCTAACTTTTCTTTCATTCATTTGACCCCTCTTAAATTAATCATTACCGAGCTCCTAAATCAAGTTAATTTAAATTAATCACGCCACTGCCTAATATAAACAGAACTGTATATATCCCAATGCACATGTAGAATATTACATAAAATCTCGAAAGAGAAAATCAATGAACAAATAAAGTAGATATTACCATCTAAGATAATATACAAAAAATTATGTCAAGAAACCATTTTGTGTCGGAATGAAATCAAGAAATCGGATGGAAAAGGCAATCATGAAAGAAGAGATACCAACGAATGCCAGGAATTCAATATAATTCTTAGTGCAGTCACGGGGGAAGATCAACTCCATCCCTCCAAGAAGCGCGGAGCAATTTGTCGTGGGACCCGGAACCCGGACCTGCGGGCGACTAGCGTCCGGGATCTGTAATCAGAAGAGTGGCTGGCGTAGGGATTACAGTTCAGAACCGCGAAACGCTTTCGGTCGTCCAGACAAAGCTGCATGCGCATTGCAGAGATCCGGGTCCATCGATTGGCGGGTCGGCTCGAGCTCTGTCTGCGATGGTAATCGAGGACGAGATCCGCGAGTTGAAGTGTCGGCAGGAGGCATTGCTGGAAAGAGTTTCGTGCCTCTCGTTACGTTTGTGCACGAACGAGTTGGCGACATTGGAGTCCAGGCAGACGTCGATTCTGAGTCAGCTGTCTGCAGTGCAAGAAAGGCTCGACTCCTCTGCTTCGGGAGGGGGAAATGTCAGGGGAGTTTCTGCTTGTGACGACGATCAGGGGCTGGAGGCGGGAAGAGATGGAGAATTCAGCCACGGAAAGGGCAGTGCATTTTCGCGTCCGGGTGGTTTTGGCTTGGGCTCCGAGCGCAAGGGGGATAGAAGTGAGGTCGAAGAACGCTTGAGTGAATTGCTCGGAAGTGCTGGCGCCACATTCTCTTTTAAACGTGTGCCTTCCGATTACTACTCTCGTTCGTATGAGCAAAGGAGAGATCTGCTCGGAGCTGCGTCCGTCGATCACTTGTGCAAAAGTATAGTAATGGTAAGCCTGTGATTTAAAACCCAGAGTATGGAACCGATGGATGTACCTCTCTTAGCTCATCGGCTGGGAATTGTTCGCCGATATGAAATTTAAACTCCTCATGAATCTCTAAATAGCCTCAAAGGGATGCTCATGGTCATCACTTTCTTTCCCTCGGGCATTGAGCATGTATAGTTTTGAGGATTGCAGGGTTTTGCTGATTCTCTATATTTATCACGTTCAAATATTATGTTTGCGCATGTTGTAGGTTAACACGCAAGCCCTTGAAAGCATAACGGATTGCAGCGACCGGAAGAACTCAAAGTACTACTTGATTGTCATTCAGGTAGGATTTTCAGCTCGGAATACTGGAGATCGGAGGTTCAAATACATGCAGTTTTTACTCACTACAACGCATTTTCCATTGATTATTTATGTCTGTTTGTGACTTCTGGCTGCACAGTATACTGCCAGGCTGAATGCGGAAAAAGTAAAGCAGTTCGTTTACTCGCTGAACGACGGGAAAGTACCAAAGAAGAAATTCAACTGTAAGATTTCATTGGACATCGCTCAGTGTCTTGAATTTTCTCGCGTGCAGATTAGCTTTCAAGAAATACTGCAGTTGAAACTGGCAGTTGCTGCAACTTACGTGAAACAACAAAAACCTACAAGTAGTATGGAATCAAATTCTGAACCCTCATTGGTACATGTTCCTATGGTCATAGATCTGAATATATCATGTTTCTGTTATCAGCGCAGGCATAATTGAAACAAACTAAGATTTAGAAACGTTGCCCTGCCCATATTGGTTCAACACCTTCTTGACAGTTCATTTCGCCATTTTTCAGTGAGGCTAGCGCCCGAGGAGGAATCGAATAAGCTGACAGGCTTCGAACACAATGCTGTGACACCCTTTGGGATGGTCACAGATATCCCTGTAAGTTGACCGACGTTACCTCCGTGTGTCGCTGATATATCTCCGTTGATAATCTTTACTTTGTCCACTCTTCGATAACCTGGCTGCCTGAACATATCTTCCTGTCTCATCGCATAACGATGTGCATTTTGATCCCGTCTACTATACAAAACTTGGTCCCACTGATTTACTTGGAGGCATGCGCAGGTGATATACTTGTCCACGATCAACTCAAGTGTAAATTAGAGGAACTGACTTTTATGTTTATAAGAAAATGGAGATCTTAGCCATCACGTAAGTTGAGTAATCTCTATCGTGTTGCATTACCGGCATCAACGTTGACTCTATAAGTTATGGCCTTGTGCAGGTAATTCTCTCGGATGCAATCGTCCGCCTGCAACCAGAGTATTTCTGGCTAGGCGGAGGTGAGGTAGATTTAAAACTAGGACTTAGAACTGAGGATTTCATCAGAATACTTAGCCCTTTCATTGTCGACTGCATCTATTGATTAAAGGCGGCCTGAAAGAGAGACTTTCTCTGTCTTCTATAACATAGTCTGTACACACCAGATCCAAGAGTATTTAGATATCTGGCTATAGCCTTGTGTACATGCAAGTTCAACCAGCCGTTTGTAAAAACTTGCGCAAAATTCCATTCTTTGCCTCCGAGACTGCTGCGCATGATTCAGCAGCTCTCGAAGTCATTCATCTCAATCCGTTTTGTCCAAGCTTTCACCTGCTATTATTATACCCTCTGACACGTCTCTCGCACTGTGTTCTCGGATATCACAAATCAACTTGGGAAGCCCGTCTTTCTCAATACCCCACAGCAAATTCAGGTGTGGCAAAACACTTAAATAGGGAAGATGTACCTTCTGTCAAATATTCATGCACTTTCTAGAGCCACTGACCAAATGTGGCCATTTTACTTGATGCTGACGCCATCATACGTACAGGTGGATCGAGGTTGAGATCACAAGGTATTGCCTGTCTTAATGAACCTTGCATACACCTACAGCAAGGGCTGTTGGAATAATTGACACTCGATTGTTTCCTGGAAAGTTAAGTAGTTTGAGTTATCACGTGTTTCCAGAAGGCGACCAAAATGTGTGTTGCAAGAAACAATTGACAGTAGCAATTACGCTTCAAAAACGTCTGCATTTAGGCGACACTGGAGGCGAACGGATAGGACGAATCTTCGAAGTAACAATTTAGTCGAATACTAGAAGCGCCAAGTTCAGCATCTGTTCGCTACAATGACCAGGAGATTATATGCATTTCTGTTGATATTGGTTACACTACTGGAAATGTGTTGCAATCGTTCAGCTGGAGCGGAGAGAAGAGGAGGCTATCATTCGGTGTACGAGGAAAGGTCAGGAGTGATGGGGATGAGAAAAACCTAAATAGAATAGTACGAGTATTTGGTGCACGCAGAATCAAACGCAACATGACACAAGAAGACTAGTGACACGGAGTCTATCGGCCGTTCCACACTGCTAAGGAAGGAGTTGAAGTGAGACAGTGGCCTTGGGTAAATATTTTGTCAAGTCCAGTTTGTCTAGGAACTTTTAAACCGCGGTAAGCGATAGTGAGGTCTCTCTTCGGCATAACGAAGTAGACCGTGCACTAGATTGTGAGCTGCAATTGTGAGCTGCACTCCTGCCCTTTCCTCATACACCGAATGATAGCCTCCTCTTCTCTCCGCTCCAGCTGAACGATTGTAACACATTTCCAGTAGTGTAACCAATATCAACAGAAATGCATATAATCTCCTGGTCATTGTAGCGAACAGATGCTGAACTTGGCGCTTCTAGTATTCGACTAAATTGTTACTTCGAAGATTCGTCCTATCCGTTCGCCTCCAGTGTCGCCTAAATGCAGACGTTTTTGAAGCGTAATTGCTACTGTCAATTGTTTCTTGCAACACACATTTTGGTCGCCTTCTGGAAACACGTGATAACTCAAACTGCACATGTGCAATTACTCATGTGCAATTTTGTTTCTGAAAATTGTATTCTCTCGCCCTCGCCTACATATCTTGTGGAAGTCTGGGGCATGTTTATGCCTAAAGACTATCACTATCACAGCCACTCCATCGCCCTGCATTGACCATCGGGCTTGGAAACTACGGCCGCTTGATCCCATACAACTGTGGTAACAAGCTAGCGTGGATCGCTCTGTACTGGAATAGATAAGTACAGATCACGTTTTCGTAATCACATTGAGGTGTGGGCATTTAAAAAAAAACATTGTAAACGATTTTACGCCACGAGATATATCCCGAACGAATACTGATATTTCAACTTTCACACCCTGTGAGCTATGTGCAATATGTGAGGTGTGCCTGTAGGCTTCACTGATTAAGAAAAATCGCTTGCTGACTGTATTTTTCTCTACTTGTTGAATGGATCCACCAGATTACATCTCGCCTTGGAGTCAAAAGCTTTTTATTTGCGTTCTATCCTTCACTTTATGTGAAGTAGCCCCGGTCAAACGTGTGGGGAAATGAAAATATCTTTAGAGTCCTGCTGACGAATTTCGTAGCTGATGGCTACTGCTACTGCACACAGAAGATGTCGAAAACTCCCAGAAGCAAGAACCCACGACTAACAGAGGGAGATTTCTCTAACCCTTCTAATAAGAGTTAATTCTACATAGCACCGCGCAATCAATTTCCTATAACAAGTCTGGCTATATGCCACAGTTTAGAGGTAGTAGATTTAGGAAAGGATCATGCTTAGCACACACCGTTGTTACTTCTCTGGCCTGATTTTTGCTTCCATAATCTCACGGCCTTCTGTGCTCTGACCACAGATTGGAAAATGTCAGGCGACTTGGCAGCAAGAACCACAGCCTTCTTTTCAACTTCCAAGTCAAGGTGTTTGCCTGCCAAAGCGTCGTCGGCCAGAGCTTTGGCAACAATCTCGGAAGTTTTAACGGCATTTGATTGCAATTTCTTCAAAGCCCTGTCCAAGTCCTCTAGCAGCCTTTCGCACAAAGTCCGGCTAAAGTCTTCTCTGATAACGACACGCAGAAGTCTCAAATCCTTGCAGTTGGGTGCCATCGTGTATGCGGGCACGATCCAACCGGTAGTTCGGAGTTGTGCCGAGAGCTCGTACTCATCGAACTCAGAGGCATCTTTCAGAGAAAAGGCCACGACCGGAACGCCTACATCCTTTGACAGGATGTTAAAAAGACCTGTCTTCACAATTCCTTCTTTCAAGGCTTCGGCATTTGCCCTGCAGTTCTCCATAATGCATTTGTAACCCTGGAATACACCGAACAACGTTCATTTTATCAAATATAGAACAACATGGGATCCTGATCTATTGCTGATCCTGATCACATACAGACATCGCTTGCAATTTGGATGAGCTGTTGATTTTGGCTCTTTCAATGTAAACTCCATGCAAATCGATTGTGATAAACAATCTTAGCCCCCACAATAAAACCAATCGGCAGTCAGATTTGGACATGAAAATAGTTCTTTGATGGTGAAATCGGCGTCAATACGTACCTCAAAACCGAGACGGATGAATTGGTAGTACTGCGCAATAACTTGACTAGCACCTGATAAACAATCGTACATTCAGAAAGTGTCAGGATACGACACGCAATGACAAACGGAGCTAAACGTTGCTAAAATTCGACTCTCCATTCTCTTCAAGGCTCGTTAAAACGTTCAAAGCATGAGGTCATCGACTCCTCTGTACATGAACACTGCTTGTTGCTAATTCCTTCAACTTCGATGAGTATGGAAGACTGAGGCGATACCCTTTGAGAAGTTGAGAGTGAAAGACGCTTGGTCTGCCCCCAAGTAGTTGATGTGGAAAATGAGCTCCTCCGGCAAGTCATCCTGTGAGCGCCACACAACCCATCCGACTCCTGCGTACACAAGCCCGTACTTGTGCCCACTAACATTGATACTCCTGACCAGTGGCAATCTGAAGTCCCATTCCAAGTCTGGGTATATAAATGGAGCGACAAAACCTCCACTAGCAGCATCGACATGAATTCCTACATCCCACCTGCAGACACATCACATAAGATAAGCATGTCTGTTAGATACCATACCAATTGTGACATTCGATATACAGCCATCAGATCATCAACTTCGCGCTCTGGAATAGTTCAACGGTGTGTACGACATTTTTGGAAAAACACGACACTTGTTTCTCGGATTACAGAGGCTAAACCAGAATCAGCCTCAGCTTCAGACTCTCGCTACTGCTAACTGGATCCAACTGAGGTGAAGGCTCAGAACGATGGTGGGCAATGAAGCACAGACATGGAATAAAAATCTTAAGCCAGGAATGGTTTTGAACGCCTACCCTGTCTCTGCATTCTTCTTCTGAAGCAACTCGTTTAGTAGCTTCACGTCCTCGAACTCCCCGTTGTAAGTGGATCCAAGAATAGCGCACACACAAATCGTATTCTCATCTACCAGTTCTACTGCCTTTTCCGGGTTCATGACGTAGTAATCCTTCGTCAGATTTACTTCCTTCATTTCCACCTCGAAGTAGTTGGCAAACTTCTCCCAGCAGACCTGCAGCACCCAGACACACAGGGTTCAGTGATAACAACTTGCAAGAGAACACTCTTCCGCATAGACATCGTGTGAGTTCGCGTCGAGAGCATAGCACGACTGTCGGGCTACAGAGAGAACTACGCATATACGAGTGAAAATCTCAATTGCCAAAAAGCGAGCAACTCTTATGGCTGCAGGAGAGACGAGCTTCACCTGCACATTGGACCCGGTGACAAGGTTTGGTTTGTCGTAAGGTTTTCCTTCTGCCTTGCGCCTCTTTTGCCATTTTCGCTTGAATGCCAGTCCTGCGAGCATAATAGCCTCGGACGACCCCACGCATGAGGCTCCTACTCCAACTCCTCCTTCGTCCAATGGGGCATGGTACAGACGTGCAATCATGTTGACGCATCGATTCTGCAAGGTCGAAATTACAGATGCATGCGATCGTTAGTACCATATCCACAACCTGCACTAACTCTGAGTCGTCGACAACAAGGACATGCCAAAGCTGGTTGCCATGATGAAGTATTTCCTCACAAGCAATCTATGGACTCTTCAACGAAATGATTCATCACAGCAACAAGTGCACTAGGATGACTGACTCCAAGTCCCAGAAGGTGATATCATGTTCGAAACAAAGTCAACGTACGAGTTCACATGCATGCAGAGAAGGAGGCCTCTGCCAGGGCTAGTGCCAGTGCCAGTGCTTACTTGCAACTCCGTGGTGATGGGGTATTCGTCCTTATCGATGTAATTTTTCGACAGGGCTTTCAACATGAGTTGATCGCACTCGGGTTCCATCCACGTCGTGACGAAGGACGCGAGGTTGAGTCTCGGGTTTCCATCCAGCATCAACTCATCGCTTATGAATTGATACGCTGCGTCTTTCGGCAACTCTTTCTCGGGCAACGAGTATCTGCAACCAGCGACAACGACAACGACCACGACCATGCCTCAATCAGTGCCTGTCCTTACGACCGTAGCTCGCTAACCCATGAAACTCCACTGCTCGCAAATCCATCGTATCGACGCGATCGACTTCTCCGCATGAGACATGCATGTACACATACTCTCGTGTAAATACGCGGGCGATAAAATCACACATTGACATTTGCCTCGTTTCCTACGCCTTCTAACCCTCGATCGGGCCCTTCCAAGACCTTTCGATTCTCCAGTGATCATCTCGACCATGGCTTACGATCGCGCCCAGGGCAAATCGTCGATACGGTACTGCGCCGCGCTAGTATAAGACACTCTTGCGACAGTTTATGTCGGAGACATAACATGCGACAGTTCTAGCCTACGTTCCATGCATGCAAAGCAACAGAGAGCAATGCGCTGACGTCAAGGAATGAGGGAAAGCAAGGAACAGTTTAAGGCATCTCAGAAATCAGAGTCCTTCTGCTCCTTCCTCGAGCGTCATATCTGATTTCAGAAGCGCAATCTTCTGGGAGCATATGTATCGGCAACATGAACGTATGCATCATCGACATCATGTTGCAGCTACTCGAATTGCGGCATGAGCTCAGAGGAGTCGTCTCGTCAGGTCAGGTGAGATGGATTACTTGGGCAGACTAGTGCGAACGTAGCGGGTGGCGAACATGGAATGGAGAGTCCCGTCGATTTCGTCAGAACTCTGCTGCATCTGTGAGAGAGCCATGATTGCAAATTCTTGTAGTAGTCTTCAGGTCTTCAAGTCCTCGCCTCCGAGGGTCAGTGGCAGCCCAATTGCACGACAGGAAATGCGATCGCTGCTGCGCTCCTCTCGACACAGGGAGGGAGGGAGGGAGGGAGGGAGGCTAGGCCAGGAGAGGCGAGGTGAGGCGATGCGAAGAAGAAAGAGAGGAAGAGAGCGCGAGGAGGCCTCAAAGCAGCGAAGCAGTCAATCGATCGATCAATCTAAGCCCCGCTTGCGAACTCTCTCATGAGAATAGGGCCCTCTTGTAGTCTGTGAGGGATGCGCGAGAAGAAGGAGAACATATAAAACAACACGAACAGAAGCCCGTAAAATATGTAGCCGCTCATATGATTGCGCAGCAAGAACAAAGTCGCAATCAACAGAGCGCAAATAAGTAAAGGGTAAATCCTATTCATCAAATTCTTTCACATCACCCTCCCTTTACTCCTCTCTCTCTCTCCCTCTCTCTAATCCCCCCTCCAATTCTCGCCAAATCAATGCCTCCCACTCCCTCTCCCTCTCCCTTCCTGTCCGGATTCTCAGATTCCTCCCCACCCCCTCCCGACCTCCCGACCTCCTCTTCCTCCTCTATGTCACTCCTCCACTCACTGCTTCCTTCTTCGTTCAGAGCGCTAGCGAGGGGGACTAGGCCACATCCTGATGCGCTCGTACTGTTCGGTCCACCGGGCCTCGTCCCCGTCTTCCTCCGCTGCTCGCTGAGCTCCCTCCCTCCCTCCTACTCCGGATCCCGATGCCGGGGACGCCTCCCAGCGCCAGAGCTTGCTTGCTTGGACGACGGTGGCTCACCGCACGCATTGTCGCCACGTAGCGGGCTCCACCTGGAACCTAGAATCCGCGCACCGGACACGGCTGGCTAGCGCGCTCGCAATGTTTCTCCGCGACCGAGTTGGTCCAGTCACCTCCCCTTTCCGACTTACTGGGGCAGGTCTCGCTCCGCCGCTAAGCTCTTGTTCCTCTGTAGTGCTCGCCTTGCTGCAGCAGGCCGGGCGCCACGTGGCATCCGAGTCACGAATCTGGGAGAATCGGGGAACTGTGGCTCCCCCTCCTCTGTAGTTCTCTCGGGCCTGCCCGGCTGCCTCGTCCGAGGATTGTATGAATCGATTGCCTCTTGCAAGGGCGAAGAACTAATCGACCACTCTGGATTGTTACGGTGCGACGGGATAGCACGTTTACGTGAATGGGTTCGAGTGATATGTGACTGGTGTTCCCAATATCAATCACTCGCTCTGTGAGTTGTGGAGAATTTCATGTCTGGTGATTAGCTGTAACTTGATGGACTCGAGAGAGACATCTCCTGCAGAACATCTCCCATATTGGAACGACGAGCAAATACTGCTACCGGCACATGGGTTGATACCGAGGTCTTGCTCGATGGCTTGACCGCATCCGTCTCCGTGAACGGATGAGGGGTAGAAATTGGAACCAATAGAGACCGGTCTTACACGCGCAGTAATGGGATGGAATTGGAGAAAATAATATCTGCCTGAGGCAAGTGTGCACGAATCTGTGCAATATGCGCGAAATTTGTAGGGGAATATGTAGGATAAGTTAAAGCTGCATCTTTGAGACTGAATCGTGTGTTGAACTGCCACCAATGTTTAATGCTCAGCGTACTTTGGGGCACGAGGCCGGACCCAGCCCGAGCAGCAAGAGGGACTTTGGTTCTCTCTTATCTAGAAGGATATTCAATGAGGTGTTCTGCCTGTTAATACCCTCGTAGTGAGTCCTTCAGCCAACATGAACTGTACTGGTACTAGCTATGTACTCGTTCGAGCCATCTTCTTGCTGGATCCTTTCCCACCCGTAACTACAACTCCAATCCCGATTGATGTACTCTTTTCCTCCTCAAGTGAAGACATGCATGACAGCAAATTTTATAGAATTTGTAGTCAAGGCACACTGCACTTACACGACCATAATGAGGGTGGAGATTGAACAATAGATTATATCTAGAAAGAAAATCACATGAGTTTAATATGTCCCTTAACACTAACCTCGTATATTCAAAAAATTTTACAAAATATGTTGGGAATTTAAAACACCCTGTAAACTTCTAGGGGAGTGCCTAGCATGGGTTTATTATTTCATCAGGAGAGAGATTAGATGCTTGTTTGACGGTAAACATATATATAATTATTGGGATGAAGTAGATGATTTGAAATTCACAACTTACTGTTGATAAAAAAGTATTACTATCTATAGAAATATGAGAATTCCAAAAGTTTTGAAAATACGTATCAAGAAATTCTACATCTTAAAAATTCTCAAATCATCCAATAGTATTGGTAAACATAACAGGGTGTTCGTTTTTAAATTTATTATTATCTTGACAAGATATGTGCAAATGTTTATGCAATATATATGAATTGAAGATATGTTTGTTGAGTTGGTTGTAAAGTTTGGTTGATGAATGATAATCTCTCATCTATCGGAAAATACTATTTTGAAAATGAATATTTTTAATTTCATTGTTGAAAATTTACATTTTTGGATATAGATTTCAAAAAAATTCAACCAATTTTGAAATGTCGATGATTCTAACAAAATATGCATACGTCATGAGTAAGAAATTTGATTAAATAATAGCAGAAGCAGAAAAATGCAATAAAATTTGATCATTATATTTTAAATTATCTACAGATAAGTGTTGAAGGATCTTGTAAAAATTTGCACATTCTTCTGAAAAATATTTATCTTCATTTATAGATGTTTATATATATATATATATATATATATATATATATATATATATATATATATATATAATATGAAATCGAAGTTAGGTGTATTGATTTCATGCGAAGAATATTTTTCCATATGCAGATCTAGCAAAATCTTTCACACAGTTAGTAAATGACAAAGATAGTTTTCAGCCACTTACAAATTCGTAAAAACTAACACATGTTTCACTTGGATTCTCTTAAGTACTACATGTAATTGTGACAAGTTTCTAACATCAGGAAAATATTTAAAGTCAAAATCAAAATGATTTTAATAAATCATGATAAAAGAATAACGTAGCAATAAAGAAAATATAAATTGATGAGAAAAACACGTGAACAAGGAGATGTGATTGTATCTTGAGAAATTGAAAATTTTCGTCTTAGTTGCTTGACTTTAAATCAATGAAAAATACCCTTCAGTGATGGGTTATACATCCCAAGTTATGAGATCACAAACTGCGCTACCAAGTCAACGGACCCCCTGATCATAAAGAAGTAGCCTTTGTATTGCATGATTGATAGCTAGACATTGATGGTCCACAAATGATGCGTAATCATCATTCCTAGCATTAGACCTCAGATAAACCAGAATAAATCTGCTATGAGGAACAGCACACATGAAAATTGTTTCCATAGATAAGTACACTGTGCATAGTACAAATTCTCAAATATCTATGGATCTTTCGTGTGTACTTTGAAGAGAATTTAGCTATGTACTAGCGAGTCTAATTTAATGAGAGTTATTCAAAGCTTTTGTTAGGCGATGAACTCGCTTGTATCTTATTGTATTCAATTTCCACAAGTAGAGGTTAGAGCAAAAAGTTTAAGGCTTAAGAATCCTCTATGATTATCGAGCTGTTGTATTGTCATACAGCTCACCTAAGAAAAGCCAAATAATAGCAACGAAACTTAGAAGTTTCTCGTGCGAGGCCATTGGGAAGAATACTTACGTCACTTTGCGAAACTTTTGATGTCAATGTTATGTCACTAGGGAATGGATGCAGTATGCTCTAAATTATTTGTTTGTCCTTATTTAGGGTGATGTTTCATGAACCTTTGACGATGAGCAGCGTGCATGTTGACATTAAAAGTTGAAAAACTCTTCAGAACTTTCAGTTGCAAGTGTTTCCAGCTTAAGATATCTATAAATATTTACCCAGTCAGGACGATTTATACAGGACGTGGAAAACAAATAAGTTTGTTAAAGAGCATTTCACAGTATATTCTAACATAAAAGGCGTCGCATATTCTTTTTATCTGAGTATTATGGTGATTTGTAATAAGTGATTTCATTTTTTAACGTAGGTTGGAGAATAGGAGAATATCAAACATTTCCAGAGGATCTACGCATGAGTTTTAATTTTTACATAAACCCATTAGGTTTTCAAATCACACAGAATAAAGTAAAATATTGAGTTCTGTATGAAGAGTTACAACTCCTATTCTGTATTCTTGAATAGTATCTATAACAGATTCCACAATTAGTCAAAATCTGAAAATACTTCTTCAAAATGCATTCTCTGTTCCGAACATCTTAAATATGAACACCGACTATTTTGTAGAAGTGATCAAAATCAACTAGCTTCATAATGATTTTAAATTCTATATATCAAATGGAAGATGGTTTAATCTAAATTAGGTAAATATATAAATATATAAATATTTAATATTTTCATTTTTCGAATTTAAGAAAAAAATGAAAATTTTTTCTGAATGTACTGAAATTGAGAAATATTTTAAATGAATTTAAGAAGTTTGTTAATTGAGAAGTATGTAACTATTTTTCCGATATGATATATTTTTAGTAAGAAAATAAATAAAATGAAAGTAATAAATGAAAAATCATCATTAATGATATATGATTAAAAGTATCAACAATTTAGCTAACAATGTTACAAAAAATTAATGTAAAATCACTTCATCATAATATCGTTATAAAAAATTGAATAAACTATTATATGTGATAGAAAGAACGCACACAATTTGATACTCAACTTGTTACAACACCTTTTCCGATAAATTAAAGACTATCAATTTATATTTATGATTATGAATCATGATGTAGTAGTATATATGTATATATAATTGATAAATAATAAATATACATGTATTGAATCATGAATAATTATAGCTTTTAATATTAAAATAAAATAATTCATAAAAATTATTAAGAATATGAAAATATTTTTCAGTAAATAAAAAGTCTTGATGAATATGATGTAGGATTCATGTTAGAGATAAAAATATACATTCATTTGTTCTTAATTTTGAAAATTTCTTACATGAATACTTGAAAGCATTTAAAAAAGATAAAAATTAATTTCAAATTTACATCATATTATATATTATTTATTTTATATCGAAATCACTGATTCTTGAATATATCAAAGAAAATAATGAAAATTAACAATATATCACTGTAAGAAGAAAGAAAATTATTAGTATAGATTTGAAAGAAAATTTATTTTGCGAATATAAAACTTATATGTACATAATTTAAGCATGAATAATATACGGTTAGAGCAGGTTCTTATGTCAATTGCTTATTGGTTATGCATTTTTTTTCACTTAATGATGGATCTAAACATGAGTATTTGTTTGTAACTACATCAATTGACTATCATAATTGTGAAAAAGCAGTTTTTTTTTTTATTTTCACATTTACATAATCCACAATAAGTATGTAAATTTGGATTATATCAGAAGTATCATGTTGAACATAAATATAATATCTTTATATTTGGAGAATTGAGCAAGGTATTTATTATACAGCTATTAAAAAGAATTTTTTTTTTGGATTTAGCATTTCAAAATAAAAATATATAAAAATTAGATATTTGTTTACAAAAAATCAGAATGATATCTATGAAGGAAGAAAACCGATAAGGACTAACCTATCAAAAATTGTTAATAATGGTGATGTGAACTTTGATCGATCCATACATATTTTTATAATTAAGTATATGGTTTTACATTCAGTTGGATTTGAACTGGATCAGTTTCATTAGTTCATCATAGTACAGATTTAAATACTTAGGATGCCATAAAATGTATGCGGCTTCTTTTCACATGAAGATGCATAATTCTTTCATTGTTTGTTTATTGCAATTGATTTGATTTATAACATACTTAGTTCAAGAGAAATAGTATGGTATTAAAAATCTTGTAATTATAATATTTGGAGTGAGTTATTACGGATGGTGGCTGAAATGACATCATCTACATTTCGATGTGTAGTATAAGCGCAAAAAAACATCATCTTTAGAGGTAAACCTAACAAATGATGACAAATTTATCATGTCACCAAGTGAGAGAGAGCTTATCATCCCACGTATTTTTCATTTTTAGTAGTAGTTTGTACAGACTTAGGAATCAATGTGTATCTAAATTACCGTTCCAAGAACAGTAATTTATGCAATTCCTATGAGAGAAATTGATTTAAATATAACATTAAAATAACTATATATTGAAATGATAAACACTTAGATGTGTTCACTAGGAAGTTCAATATATGCGAAGTCACATATTTTTCTTCGTGCTATTGCGGCCAGCCCTATCTCATCACACCAGTTTGATGTCTTTCATGTAGGGCAAAAAGGATGGGATTTTCCATCTTTTTTGCTATATCACTTGGTACTTGGTAGCAAACGAGAGATTCTCATGCTCCTTTGTTTATGCGATTCGATTTAATGGATCGCAGTCCACACAAAGCATTGACCATAATTTTCCTTTTGGGCTCGGGCTTTATCATTTACATAATGCTTTTGAAGCACTTTCAAGTCACCGCCTCTAACCAAGGACGAATTGTAAGAATAGCACGATGCCATGTGACTGTGCATGCCAGTCAGCTCGCCATTGCGCTCCAGCAGCCACGCGGGGAAAGCCTGCGGACTTTCCTTTGGAGAAAAACACGTGTCGGTATACTGCTTGAGCTCTCGGCCTCCCTTTGTTGCTTCCTGCCGGGGCGTTACTGAGGCTCAACCGTATCAACCTGCAGAGTGCAGCCCGATCCCAAATTTTCCGCAGTAGTGAGCACTTCCGGCAAATCTGCGAGTGAAAGTAAAGTGCCCGTCGCCGTTCATGTTCGTTATGGGCAACGACTTGCCGCTCCTCATGCTCGATGTAAGCCATGGAGTTCTCACCTCCGGCTGACCGTCGGTACAAGTACCACGATCCATCTGATCCATCTGATCTCGGGGCGTTCACACACGAATCATGTGTGACATGATCCTGCCTCAAAACGAACCATCTTTTAGGCTGCCCAAGAACTGGGCGAGGAAAATCCATTTATAGTTGTAACATGGTTCACCAACTAAAAGTCTAGTTTCGAAGTAATTTTGGGGTTATGTTTAAACCTCGTAGGCTTCATCGTCAGATGAACCCTGTGTGAACGTGTTTTGTTGATCAGGTTAAAAGATGACGGGGGAGTGTGAATGGAGGTGCTTTCAGGAGGGTTCGGGGCATGTCTAAACATGCCGTATCAGAGCCTCGAGATCGGTTTGTCCTTATGTCCACGTCGACACACTTGCGATGCTGACACGTGTATGGTATTCTCCATCGGAATGTTTGTCCGTTGGATAAAGCAAGGGTTCAGAAATCCAGCCATGCAGTTGTCCGTCGACGAAGGTGCTCAGATGTTTCTCGGGGCCTATGCCGACCGTCGAGTGTCCGAGTCGGGAACCCAGGGTCGAGCTCAAGCCGCCCCGCTGCCCTCCAGGCACGTGTCGGCGCGGGATTGGTCTCCAGGAAAATGTTCCATCAATAAATAAAGTGAGATAAATATTTGGCTCTTTCTTCGAGGATAGGACAAAGGCGCAAAAGAACTGCAGCAGTCAGTCGGTCGTGCGTCCCTTAGCGAGCGACGATGGTGTGGAAAATGTTGCGCGAATGAATTTTTCTCGTCGCAGGTCTCGTAAGAGGACGACGTCATTGTTCGATCGAGTTCGGGTCAGATCGAGCAGAACTTATTGAGCCACCTTTCGCTTTTCAAACACTCACGTACATAGTACCTGCTCATAAAGTGTTTCTGAACGCTTCGTCGTTGGATGCCTGCCATTCACGCGAGGACATCTACTTGAAATTGTTCCGAGTTCTAGGGTCGGATATTTTCTTATCATTCTTTGGCGGTTCCTCCATCCATCGCCAATTCGCTGACTGGTGGCGCATCTGTGCCTCCTTGCCATCAGGTCTCGCGTCTCGCGTCTCACTTGAACCACTTTCGTACAAAGTCGCGCCGTCCTCTTTTTGGAGACACGCTCGTCGGAAAGACTGGTCTTGCTCATAAATGCTTTACGCACCAAAGATCGGTCGTACCGATGTCTCCAATGTTAAGCCATCTCCAAACTATCGGAGATGCACGTCACACAGGTGGGAGCAGAAGGTGTTGCAGTCTAAGCAGCACGTGGATTCGTTAGAATATATTGAGTCAAACGAGTTGCTGGAAGGTGATCACTCTCGGAAATGAGATTCGGATGTCAGTCTTCGCGAGATATGGATCACAAGTCAGTTTTCCACACCTTCATTTCACCTGACCCAATCGAGCAGTTCATGGCGAAGCTATCTTATTTTTCCCCGATGTAGAACTTTGGCACCATTGTGCATGTCCATGTCTTGGTTTCAAGGTTATTCCCGAGCAGAACGTCCCTAGAAAACTATGTTCCGTGATTAACTTGCGCGAATCCGTTCAGTGTAGACGATTGACCCGATCAATCCCGACCTGTTCACGTAGAGGAGAATGTCAAAATTTACAAAGGCGACAAGAAATCGGAGACCTTGAGTGACGAAGAACTTCCGTCTTATTGTCGAGAAGTGTATGTACATATTTGGGAGGAAGTTAGCATGAGAGTTTTTCTTCTTGTTTTCATGAGAGTTTTCGTGTGAAGGCGGTTTGCCCTTGTGGACCCTTCATACCCCCTGTGTAGATGACTATCTTCGAAGCAACCGAAGCCGGAGCTCTTTTTAGTAGAGGGAGGGAGGGAGAGGTCGTGAATGGCTATATAATTAACAAAGTATACAGAAAATTCCGACCAGGAAGCTTTTTACTAGGAACATTCACCGGACCCCTTCCCTACTTCCAAGCACCTGGCACGCAGCAAGTCTCCAGGAATCTGTGGGATTTGAGTCTACATTGACTGAGGTGAGCTCTGATGTCACGAACGTCCCAGATAATGCTTCGTTTTCTCCTCATGAGCTAATACCCGTCGAAGAAGAATAATTAGATCACCTTATGTTCGAACACGAAGGACAAACAAACATGGATTGAAAATTCTCATCTATAGATGATAGACTAGCTGTATCTGTATCTTACACGGGATGACAGGCCTAGCAGTTACTAAAGCGAATCGAAAAGGAAGGGAGAAAAGGAATAAGTGCATAATGACTTTGACGATTTTGAACCAGAACGAGTCACCGCGCATCACAAGTCATGCACATTTATGAGCATTATCCTCTGTTTGACTCTGTACGTGACCCATACTTGCTTCCTCGCGGAGGCAACAAGGACCACACTCTATCTTATTCAATTCCTGCAACGTTTACGCGACCCGGCGCAGTATATAAGTAAGAACGCGTGTTCTTATTCAGAGGGAGCCCGTACTTCATCTTGAAAGCTGCACTGCACTGCGCAAACTATCAGCTGTGAGTTAACGTCAAGAATCCTCCTCCTCAGGTACACACCATACCATGGATATGCCACAACGACAACAAGTGTTGGGGTCGAATTTATGTGGGGGAAGTTGAACCCCAGTGTGGTAACTCGGTACCACCCTGCATCCTCTTTGTGGGGTACAATAAGTGAAGAGGACCGAGCCGAGACATCGTCGCATTCAGAAATTTTTTTTTTTCAGTAGTCCCTTCCAGCAGCTTCATGACTCATATGCCGACGATGCAGCAATTATGCGCTTCACAACGACAGAAGCCAAGTTCATCGAAAATCATCGAGTGAGTCTGTCTCAAACAAGAAACCATCATAAGTTCCTGAAGTTTTCGAGCTCGCACGTTACTAAACGCATCAAGCATGGGTGTGCTTTAAGTTCCACTCATCGCTCTGAAGTTTGGTGTGGAGATTTATCCATTGTTAGATGATATGAATCTGAAATATTTAAATACACGGTCTGCTAGCTCCAAATGTCTCGGAATGCGTCCAGAATCTCAAGTCCAAGTTTTCGGTGCATGAGTTCCACTATGTCCGAGTCCGAGGAGTCGACTATACTCTAGTTTCGGATTCTGACAATTGCTGAAATCAATTTTGGCCGGCACCCTTAAAATTTAGAAGTCAACCAGGATTGAAGCTGCAATAAAAGCTGAGTGCGCCACTAAACCCTTACTCCGGATCCTTCGAAATCACGACTGCATCCTTCGTCCAGTGCACGTCTTCTGCCACTATTGCCATCGCGCTCTTTGCGGTCCTTAAAAAGGTTTATATTCACCCACATGTCACTCCTGCGCTCGAAGGATGAACTTGTATTCTGGACGCTACATAAGACTTCGGCCTCAATTCCAATGACCTAGTGAGCAAAGTCCAATCGACTTTGCTCATCAGGTCGCCTGGAATACTTTCGGTAGTCCTCATCATCTCTACAGGCTCGGATGCTCCTGTATGAAGGCCGAAGACATGTTGGGGATCCTCGAAGCCTTACATTCATCTACACCTCTGCTTACGACAGCGTGGTTCCGAGAACATTTAGAACATCGTATTTTTTGCAGGAATCATTTGCGTGGAAAAATACTTGAATAGGTGATGATAAGAGATACATCGTCTGAACAGCACATATGCAGATCAGCGCGAGTTCATCCTCCAAAAAGAATACTGTGTATCCCGGCTGTATTTAGAAACTGTTGAACCCAAATCGATACGAGACAAACTCATCTGAATTAAAAAAACACCGAAAGTTGGATGGTGCTGGACGGGCAGATAGTACTGAGTAGGCGAGCTCTCTGACCTGAATATGCCCAAATATGAACGTCGGTTACATTTCTTTCCGACACCCGAGAAGGACATGACAACTTGCACCACCCGTACGAGCATTAGTGAGTGGGAAGATAATACGTGATCCGATAGACTTGGAACCTGACATTTCTCGTCAGAATGACCGTCTTGAAGAGATATTTTCTACGTAGGGCTGTTGCCTTGAGACTGGTCTGCAGGTGAGATGGTACTTGGCTCTCAGCCTACAAACTCATTTTGAGCTAGAATCTCGTTTTTCGAATAGAATACGGAGCAGCTTTTGTTCACTGGCTGCAAGAGATCGAAGAGTACAAAAGTACTCCAAGGTCTAAAATATGCAGCACAAGGTCACCAGAAAAACCAGGAAGCATCCAAACGGAACTAATCACAGAGAATTGGACGTAAAAAATACCAGAGAGGTAAGTGATCTCCTGACACACCAAGTTCCCTTCTTCCTTCGCCTCCTTACCAAAGAGCTCGCAGGCCGCATTTGCTCTCAATCCATCTTCTTCGCCTGTAATTCTTCACCAGCATTGCTGATGACCCAAATACCAGCCAAGATAAAGCCCGCACCGGCGAACCACTGAAAGACACATAGGAAAGAAGGATCATATCAGTTTGCAAATAGCAATATGAGGACCAGTCTGGCTGACAGGGCCAACTGCTCGAGGCTTTTATAACTCTAGAGATTTCACTATTTCACTAATTTTGGCGCATGGTGCTGAATCTTGAGGAAAAACACCCAAGTCCTGACTTACGATATCAATCGTATCGACAATTTACAAAGAAGCATGGTGGAGTATGGAAGCTGCAGGAACCTCGAAATGAGCCGGCTCACTGAAGATAAGGAATCCTGCCAACCCTGACAGAAGAAAGTTGCTGCCGAAGTTGACAACCGTGGCTTGGAGGGAAGATAGAGCTGTCAAGCTTCTGACGTAAAGGCTCCACATTGACACATTACACAGAACGACGATTGCATAGCAAGCCACTTTGAAATCCCATCTTTCCTGCACCATAACATCTCAGTCGAGTGATCACAACCCTAATGCTTCCCTCTATATTTCACGCACCATTCAAGCACTCCGATCAACTCTTTTCGACGCACTACCAGAAACCGAAGAGAGCAGGATTAAAGTGCAGCATTCTTACAAGAGGAGAAGCCAGCTTAGCCATGATCGCAGATGTCGCAGCACATGCACCTGCAGCGCAAGCCCAACCCCACGCTAAACCCATCGCTGAATTCCTCTGTTCCAAGATTATGCTACAGACTGAAGACCTGTAGTCAGCAACACAGAGTAAACTGTAGATGCCAACTATCGGATTCAGTAACAGAATTTGGGCTCTAATATTTTTATGTATTCTCCTTTCAATGCAGAAAGGTTCAGTTCAGTCGAGAGTTTCAAGGACCTGCTGGCTTGATTGACCTGCCAAAAGATTCGAATTATTCTTCTCCACTCATATGATAGCCTCGACAGGGGAATGAATCCAACCTAGATCTCAAACTGCACATTTCATGTGCACTTGGCAAACAGTGAACCTGGAGGAATGCGATATACTACGGGCAGAAATCTAGACAAGAATTAGAGACAGATGCCTCTCTCGGTCCCAACCTCTAAGTTGCAATTCGGTGCAATCTGTTCAACGTTTCTTGGTCTTCTGCTGTAGCGCGATGGTTCCTACTCCTGCGCCTCCCCGAATTGGCCTTGCTGCTTTTCCAAAAGCTTAGACTAGCCAGGGCACAGCCAATTCCTAGAATCACTCTGTTTCTGGCTTATATTCCAATATACGTACATGTTAAGGTTTGGAAACCTAGATGCCGCTTCCTGCCGTCAGATAAGAGAACGAATATATAACTGGGAGAGCTAGCGACTGAAAGCGTACTGCTGTCGTGATGTTCCAACCAGCCCCATAAATTCTGCGAGAACCATTAATTGGTCGAATGGACACGGCGGCAGATGATGGACGTGAAGAGCATACACCTAAACCTGAAATCGCCCTACCTATGATGCCGATTCTGCCCCTGGAAGTTAAATTGCCAGCAATGAAGCACACTATTGCATGACACTCCCTACCTGCATGACATTAGCCCGGCCACCCCTGGCCGCCTCACCACGTTTCCACTCTAATTCTTCACTAGATCTCTTATGACGAAGTACTCCAATCTCAGAGCAAGTGGAGTCGATCAGGCGGCCCTCCCCTCACCGAGCTCCCTGAAGAATGCAGAAGTACTTTATTTCAACGAGAAAATATAATAGCAATATCAATATCTAGTCCAGACCCAATGTCCGACGAACACTCTGTCATTGCAAAGCCATACTCAATTTCCTTACTGGAGTTGATCAGCAATACTCAATCCCATCAGCATCGATGATCTCGACAGTATGCACGATCACGAATTGTAGCCACAATCGATGACCGATTGCCTTCTAATCCAGCTGAAAGTCCACCCAAACTATCCACACAGCGAGGACATGTAGGAAAAAGAGAATATACGTGCACACGAGAATGCAAGGTAAGGAACCTCCGTCTTCTGTTCCGTTTCCTTTGTTTATGGCCAGTCACTTCTCAAGAAAAATTTCCACAAGAATATAGAACTAAATGACTTTTCATAAACGTAACATGAACTACTGGAGGGGAGGGAAGTGACCTTTTAGCAACTTTCGTTTGACTCGAACTTCAAGAAAAATTTGATTTGGAGTGATCATTTCTGCTAGAAGTGGAGGATTTTGCTTCTTTTTTATTTTGTTGAAGTTGGTACGCGGTCATCTGACCGCCCATGTTGGAAGGAAGAATTTCAGCTGGCTCTCGAAGAGGAATCGAGCCCCCGACGAGTGTTGCGAGTTCCACTAGTAGAACTATCGCACCCTTTATGGTTTTTTTGTCTGTTTGCACAGGAAGCTAACTTGATTCACCTCTTTTGATGTAAACCTCGGCGATCAAGCGTAACTTTCTAGATGAAATTCCCAAAAAAACCCAACAGAAATTGAGGATAATGTCAATAATAAAATTAGTCGATACAGAGTGTGTTTAGTGCTTAGTCAGTGAGCATTTGCAGCTCGTGGGTCAAAGTTATGGTTCGAAGCGCATATGTTTAAAAGGCTCAACCTCAGCTTTGAAAATATAGCGAATGAAAGATGTCTACCCAGACCCTCACATCAGCTCGACAACCGAATGAGATCTTAAGGCCAAGTAACAACGATCGAGTATCAGGATCAAGTAACACAGTTGTTCTGTCCGATGAGATGCACAAATTCGCAACTGATATCCTCTCTGTTTCGATTTTCTCTAGAACTGCTCAATGTAAGGGCCTTACTCTGACCTTGACGAGCTTGAACGTGCAACTGACAAACTGAAGAATAGGATCTGACCATGCACACTATGTTAATGATGTATTCTTGTGGCCTGAAAGTACACGTCCGCGAGAGGCCGAGCTTCACTCTTCCAGTGCTGTTCTACTCCTCTCATTCGATCTTTCACGTGTAGGAGCGTGAAGCTTCCGATTTCGACTCTCTGGTTCGCACGGTAGATTTTACCAGTGGATTCTAAGCAGCAAGGGTCAGCCCAGCACACCAACTCACATGCAGGAACCAGTAACTGACAGACTGCGAATGAGTGGAGATCAGAAGATTACAGGAACCCAGAATCAAAATAAAGCGTATAGAATACACAAACTCAACTCTATTACTTTCCTCATCAATCATACTGCATAAGGAGTTGCATTGCGTTAAACATGGACCGATGACACAGAGGGCACACGTCTGCTTATCGTTCATCAGCTGAAGTGATCATTTGTGTGTCGTGGCGGGGTGAGGAAGAGCTTCGGGTTGGCACATGTCACGTTGAGATGTGACAACTTTAGCGTACGAGGACGAGTATCTTCGACCTTGACAGTCAGTTCCAATATGATAACGCCCCATAGCCGTGGTCAGACACTTGGGAGATGGTATCTGACTACTCGCATTCAAGAGGGTACTGGTGCCGGCGCCATTCTATTCATCCCATCACTTGAGTCACCTGTACCCTTGCAGTACATGGCGCCGTGGATGTGCCATAGGCGCACCCCAAGGTACAGGACTCATGCCAACATTGAAATAGATTAGTTGAGAATATAGTACAGATCGCAAAAGTGCTCGCAGCGCCTTGTCGGAGTTTGTGAGGCCTGCATGTTTTTCAGACAGAACTTTTCGTGGTACAGAATGGCGAAGACTTCAAGTACGAGTTTCAAGGTGAGTGTTTTTCGGATACGGTTGTAGTTCATGGATAGTTTAAGACTTTCACACCTATTGATTAAATATTTGAAGTCAAATATTTAATAAGATAATCCTATAGTGTGTTGGGTAATTTTTTTAAAAGTTTATACTATCAAATTTTTAGAATTTAAATAGAAACGTACATAGGATAATACATAGGTTTAGCATTCGGATTATAATTATATATATTATTGGAATCATTTGATTCATCAAATGATTATTATTTGAGTATATACTTAGTATTACACTGAATGATATATTTTAGTATAAATAAAAATTCTCTAATTTAGTGTATGATGTTAATTAAAATTGACAATGTAGCTGAAATTTTATATGAACCTAATTTCATAATGATACTATCAAAATCAATTTTGTAGATCCTAGAAATATATAGAAGACATTAAACGTAAATGATCTACAGTTACATGTTTTGAAGCTATTGTTCCTTGTCGTGAATGACATCATTGGTTTCATCTATGTTCGTTCGCACATATTCTTCCTTTTGTCTTTTTATGTGGATTTCTCACCTTTTTGTTGAAACAACCTTTACATCCACCAGACCTAAGTTACACTCATTGGGAGTTTCACGACCATCCAAAAAGTCTGCCACACATTCCACCCGACGCTTGGATACAAGCCAGGGACAGACAGTTGTTCATACCCCTCGAGCTAGTTTCGTTCCAAACAAACATTGTGCTCGCATCCAAAGTTTAGAAGTTGAGCTGTCTTTTAACAAAGTTCTGTTGCAACAACGAGAAATTGCATATTCTGGGGATGTTGACACTGTTAACGCACAACTACGCATGCGAGGCTAGAAACGCATAAGGTTTGGGACATCTCCAGCCTACAACAAGTATTCAAGCAGTTCGACCTGTCGTTGTCACTACAGGACTCCGTTGGTGCATCGGGTCAAACGCGAGCACATTTGCAGAACCTTTTCCAAAACTGCACGAGCTTTGCATCGAACAAACTTACTGCCGATTGATAACTACGCTAGCATCAGGGTTACGAGCAAATGTTATCTCCAGAAAAAACTTCCAGCGCTGAAAAGAATCACTTTGTCAAGTTGCGCCCTCTGGGCATATGCGAGCCGACGCGAACGACACCTTGTCAAGGTCTAGCGGCGATTGTGGAGTTCAACGTTTTCAGAGCTAATTTTCGGAGTGGCAGCATTTCACTAGACGCGGAGGAGAATTATGATAAAATTCCCGACGCTGAAAGAGAATCACTTTGTATGTATGTTCCTTCAGAATTGCTTTCCACCATTATCTAATATACTCTAATTCGATATATATATATAAAACACCTTGTGAAGGTCTCGAGGCGATTGTGGAGTTCAATGTTTTCAGAGCTAATTTCCGGAGTAGCAGCACTTCACAAGATGCGCAGGAGAATCATGATTTCTTAATGATGCAATCTACACCGCATAAAGGACGACCCAGAGGACGAAGGGCCGATGCCTTACCTTGTACTCAAAGCAAAGTTAGGTTGAAACTTTACACAACGAGAACTGCGAACCCTAAAGATCGGCTTTCTTCACCCTGTCTCTAGAATCGTCTCTTTTGGTCCGCATGTTGAAGATTCTGCAAACAACTCGGTACGTAGATCGGTAATCGTCACCTGTCTACTTTACTCCAAATACATAATTAGAAGACATTGATAGAAATTTACTCACGAACTATTGGGAGGACATGCTCCTCCTGCTGATGGAGTATGGAGGCACACATACTTGGAGCAAGCGGTACTCTTTTCGTTTGATGAAGATGATTTCAAGCTTGATATCAAAGACAGAAGCCTGCGCTTTGGTGTTTGGTTAGATAGCCCGGCATTACGTGATGTTGGGGACTATCAATTAAAGGCTGGCCAATAAAATTGTTTATACAGATGTATACATCAAGTTATTTCGTCACCTACCTTACTCCAAAAATTTATGTCGAGCCAATATGCATGAATGAGTTTAGATAGGAGTTTACATGTGTTCAAACCAAGAATATTGAAAACTAAAATCTGACATGTGTAGTGCTTACTTGTCACATGATAGCAATGCGTGAAGACAAGGGATTACCCCCATTTTAGATCAACAATTGAAGTTATAAAAAATAAAAATCAAATTGCCAAAGCTTTTGTATTCTACATGATACGAAGTGTTTTTCTTGTGACTATAACTACGTGTCAAATACATTTCAATATTATTATTATATAGACCTCGCAATCAGGGAACTCTACCTTACTAAAATGATTCAACTCTTTCTTGTTTTAAAACCCATTTCCTTCTTTATATACCTCATATCACCAGAGACATTTCCAGTTTGTCTTTGATTCTTCTAGGTTTTTAAACAGCCATCAAAGTATTATGAATACACCAACAATAAACATATAAGATGTGTAATAAAAATGGATGGCCTTTTGCTTTGGTTTGAAAGTTATAACTTCGCACTTTTTCATAATAAAAATGAACGCAAGAAATATGCGTAGTATTTTTGAAAATATTTTTATTAAATAGAATTACATATTTTTTGATGTGAGTAACGTTAATTTTGAAATGAAATGTTAAGCTATAAATAGAACAAAATTATGTTGTTGTACGAAAGCAGAAAGTAGACTTGGGTCGATAGATATAATTTGCTCTTGTTTATATTGCGTTATGAGAGCGAAGGATACGTAACCTTTGACCGCACTTGTACAGACAAAGCAGATTGTAAATACAATATAAAATGATGAAAATTTTATTATACAAAATTAGTTTGATTTCATGTAATTAGAAGTAACTAAATAAAGATCTTGATGTGAAAAGTGATAATCTAGAAAACTAAAACACAAAAGACTAGAGCACAGCCGTTCCAAGACTTACAAAGTATCATGATGGTCTTCACCAAATTTCTGAATCTACAGATAGATGAGAAGTTATTTTTTAATTGAAACTTGAAATTCTTATTAGCCAAATATACACAGGTATTCCATAATTTTAATTTTTAAGACTGCTGTCTTGAAGAGAGTGTTGGGATCAATAACGATGATATGCTTTGTTTTTTCATCCTGAAAAAATATGCAAGTATCACTTCAAAAATAGAAAATTTTTCAGAGACATTTATGTTCTCTTACCAATTACCATATAAATTGCATGATTTCAAAAAACTTTGTTCGTTTAAATTAGGGAAAGTTACAAAATTGTCATAATTGGATAGAATATCAAGAAGGTTAATTATGAGACTGATCTTTAGGAAATTACACCACGATGATGAAAAATAGAGTAATAAAAAATATTCTTATATATATAAACATATGAAACTCAATATATGAGTCGAGCGGTTTGATTTTGATAGGAATATGCTCGATACATGGGTACGTAAAATGTAAAGGATTCACTTCATACGGTTCATCATCACTTCCTCTAATAAATTTTAGGAGAAAAAATAAATCAAGCAGCCTGCAACTTCAACGACCAGGGATCGACTGTTGGAATGATGTTTGTCCAGGATCGGGTACAAATCCGTATGATTTTGTATTATTCTGTTGGGTAGGGCGGGCGATGGTTCTCGCAACGGACCGAAACGGAAGGTGGAGAAGAGGGCCCAGAAAAGCGTGGAGGCGCCGGCGAGTAAAGGGCTGACATACATGGACGACCAGTCTGATGCGTCGAAGCCACGCGGACGTGGAAGGTTCTGGTGCTGGAGATGAAGCGGAGGCAGTTTGTGGCCATAGAAAAGAGTGAGCGGAGGGCGAAGCGATTCGCGCCTCTGGACTGAATGAATCTGTTGCTGGGCTGCGAGAGGTCCACGTCGGGCCGGGCGTGCTTTCTGCGTCGGACGACTCGCTCGCTTCCTTCGTTCGGTGGCTCGTCCCGCCACGAGTCCACGAGCTGCGGGCACTTGCCGTCGCTCCCCGAAGTCCTCCTCCCTCCGCTGCTGCCTTTCCGACCTCTCTTCTTCCATCCCCTCGCCAGCTCCACCACAAGAATTGCGCATCGCCAGCCCACCGGGAGATGCCATCGCTGACTGTAGTATTTCTTCTGTCCGCTGCCGGTCTACTCAGCTGAATACCCAACACCTCGCGCAGGCTCTCGGTACATCAACCACTCGAGCTTCACAATCTGAAAGACGAGTATTGCAAGGCGTTGAGCGAGCGAGTGAGCGAGAGTGCCGGCGGAGATAAGACCTTACACTACCCAAATGACTATGCTAAATTCTCGAACGTCTTACGAGGACTTTTAGATCTTCGTGTAGGTGTCGGAGGTGTGCAGTGCAGTGTAGTTTGAAGGGTTGCGTAAGTATTTTGAAGAAATCGTGTGATTTGGAGGACGACAGGGATGGCTGCATTGGGAGCAGCAACGTTGGTGTCATGCTCGGGATTGCAGAGCAAGAGGGCTTCTGAGCTGCCGGGGCAGATGAAAGGAGAAGGACTCGGTCAGCTGAGGAGTGGTTTTAGCATGGTAAGAGTAGCTAGACCCGTCAGACCACAGGTTAGGATGGGGAATCCCAACGAAGGCAAAGGAGTGTTCGCTCCTCTCGTCGTCATAGCCAGGAACATCCTCGGCACCAAGCGCTTCAACCAGTTGAGGGGAAAGGGAATCGCCCTGCACTCTCAGGTACTTGCTCATACTTTATCTGCCCTCCTTATTTTCCGCCTCAAACTTTTGCCTTCCATCAGTTGATGCTGATTCTCGTGCCGAAGATCGCTGTTATCACCATGAACTACAATCTGGGTGTGTCTGAGAATACGTACGCCATGTTTAATGTCTCGAAGGTTATCCTGTATGTTAGGATTTGTCATTCTACAGTCATGCAGCGATTCGTTTGGATGGACGTGTCATTGCATGGAGTGACCTTCCGAATACCTTGGAAGGCTTTATATTCTTTTGGAGATGCTCATTTATTCCCCTGTGATTGAGGGGCACAGAAGTTCCCTCAATTGTAGTAGGTTGGTTCACGAGAAGTGTACTCAACTCCCCGATTCGTTTGTGCAGGTCATAACTGAGTTCTGTAAATCTATTGGAGCCGATGCCAAGCAAAGGCAAGGCTTGATTAGACTGGCGAAGAAGAACGGAGAGAAGCTGGGATTCCTGGCATAGATAAGAATCTGTTCTGCGAATGTTTAGGAGGGAATCGACTCCGTTCAGTGTACAGACTGAATGCCCATTATGTCAGACCCGTGCGACGAGACGAGACCTTCATCTGCTTGTAGCATAGTTCTTCCGATTCTTGCAGTGGAACCAAGCGTCTCTCTCTGACATTAGGACTATCATTTTATTACTTCTGTCATATATGTATTTAAGCCTGATAATGCCGGCTTATCATTAATCAGGACGAGAGCAAGCCGCATAGCTTGCAGCTGTGAACACACCTCCAGCCAACTGGCTAGGACCACAGAAATTGAAGATTACGTATCGAATTTTTTGGCCGCACCATCCGAGACTTAGCTGCCTGGCTTTTGCACATCCTTGCTTTCTTGTCTCTATTGAGTAGTTGCTTGGAGCGTTCGTTCCTCTCATCTGTGTAGACGTGATTCAGTCATTCGTGACAAACATTGTGGAACGCATCGTTATCTGTAGACTTTGCCGAGATTTAACACTAAACACCGTACCAGTTATAAGCTCATTACAGCAACCAAAGGAGTCTGTGAATGGGTTGTGCACGAAAGATCTTACAACATTCTGTTAAAACGCAAACTCCTTAACAGACACTTACGATCAAGTTCAGTGATATCGTCACCACCTTATTTTGTAGAATTGAGAAACCTCAAATAAGTCAGGATCGATGTTCGATAACTACTGTAGATCATTTCAACAGCGTCACTTCACTACGGCTACAGATATTTTCCTGTTTTAATCTCGAGATATGTAAGCTGTACACTGAACGATATTACAGACTAAGAATACCACAATGTGTTCGTCTTGGGACAATTGTCAATTAAAGCAAATATACATTGTGAAATTGATTTGATAGAAACTGTCCAAAACCGATTCATACATTGAAATAAACAATGGCCTACTTTCGTTCTGAGATAAATGAAAAAGTAAGTGAATTGAAATATACAGTTTGCATTATCATATGCTGTAGAACCAAATCCGTGCTGCTGCAGAGTCTAAATATCCACTTAGTATCTAGGTCTTTGAACTTTAGTCTGCAAAATCAAATTCACTGAATTAATACATTTCGAACCTGTACAAAAATTCTTGTTGAGCATTTCTCCATGGAAAAGTCAGATATTCCAGGCAGTGTGACGTTTCTGAAAAGCTAAATGAATCAAAATTAATGATTCCATAAAAGATTCTTTAGGCATGTATGTTGCCAACGAGATAATCTGATTATTTTTTTCAGAACACTTTCTGCCTGAGATTTCTGATACTTGCTTTTGCAAACACAAGGTTTGATTATTTTCATGTCACTTGGGCGGTGGATATTATGGTAATGCGAAACACAATTCCAAAACTGTTCGCCAAGCACAATTGTTGGGTTCAAAAATTGGTGCCTAGATTGAGCACCAATTGCTCAAATGTTTTTTTTACATAAAATGTACATAAACTTTTCAGATCTCTGTCAAATTATTTACTCATTAGTTTAATCATTTCAAAGAATGTTTTTTCATTCAGTCTCATAAACAACTAGTCAGCTTTCTTAAATCCTGATTTCAACTTCAAAACTTTAAAGTTTTTTGTTCTATTGTTTCCTTTCTAAATATGTTGACAATTGTAGAATTTCAATGTGTGTTATACAGTTAAGAATCTTTATCTCATTGAAAAATCTCATGATATATAAATTATCATACCTTGTAATATTCAGCTTCTTTTGTGCTACACTTTGAATATCTCCAACTAAAATATTAGATAGTTCATTCATATTACAAACAAATGTTGACTTTAATTTACAAGATGATAGTACCGATTTGAATAAGAATGTAATTTGTTGCATCTCATGATAGTATGCATTGTTTGAAATTTTGCATCGTTGATTCTACAAATACTACTCAAACGTTAACAAATTTTGTACTCAGTAAAACTAGATACATATGTTAGTTGTTTCATGTCACCTTCAATTTCATTCTTTACATAATTTTATTAATATTCATAAATATTTCATCGAATCTATTATTAAAACCGAAATGCTAAAGCTTTCTTCTAGAACAAAAAAAATTCTGAACTTGATGTATATATGATACAAACTTTAAATTTAGTTATACAAGATAAGAATATGATATTTAAGTTTCATATGTGATGAGTTTCAGCTTTTCTTATGTGCAGAAGTAAATATTTTTATTATATTGAAACATTGACTCTTTTTAAACTCATTAAAATTATGACGTTAGTTGTATTCAAAAAAAGTAGCATATTCTGCATGCATATTAACGAGTAGGAGATTTAACTCATACTTGTTTCAAGCTCTAAAAGCGTAACGAGCCTGCGTAACATTCATGTCTAGATTGTAATTAGTGACCAGGACTGAAAGATTTGTACAAAGTTTTCCACAATCTGTTTTCGTTGTTTCTGCTAAAGTTGTTGTGATGCTGTCACTGAAGTTCTACATCGTCTGTTCTTCATATGTTGCAAATGTTGTACATAATCTGCTGTCGTTGTCGGGTTGTCGATGAATTTGTACGTAGTATGTTCCTCATAAGTTTCAATCGTTAGTTCTCACATCGTTTGTGTTGGTTTCACAGGTGAGTTCGTGTAGTCAAGTTTCAAGGTGCTTTGAATTATTCTAGCCAAAAGTATTGCACATATTACAATGGTTCTCAAGGATTCTTCCAAGAAAAACCTTAGAAGCAACATCTACATGAAGACCAGGCAGTTTCTCAAACGATTTAAAACAAATAAAAAATCTGGAGGAATTGCTTCAAGAAATTTATTAGATGCAGAGTCTTCTTGTACATTCACCGAATTCAAGCAGATTGACTGATGATGGAGAACCAGGGTCCCATCCCTAAATGTATGCTCCTGCAGATATTGGTAACACGAGCTTTAGGCATTGGGTTGATAATTCTGATTCAAATATCTCTTATGGTGAGGATGCAATGGATATGTTAGTTGATGATATGACTTCTCAACCTCAATCTTATGAAAGCCAAGATTGGCCTATAACATTTGAAACCAGAAATTATGAGTTGAAAGGTGATACTTGTATAGATAATGGTTAATCTTTGGTTGCACAAGAAAGTGCAGAAGAGGGTATTGTGAAAAATGTTCCAGCAGGAACAGAAGTCAACGAGATCAATATACCTTACCTAGCTTGTACACGACCTCAACAAACGGAGGCCTATCAAATGACAATGACCAATGAGATCAAAGAGGAGAAAAGGTTCTGGTTCTAGAAGAGGTTCTCGTTCATGGATGCGTTGAGTGCACGGCGGAATGGCTAGAAGTGTTTTTGTCAAAGATTCTTGACAGGAGCTGGAATATGATGCATTTCTAGAACTTGATAGTTGAAGACTATCCTTATAACCGGAAAGAGCATGCTGTATTTTTTCAGATTACTTTTTAACTGGAGTTTTATCTTCCTAGAGAGGAAGGTGATAAGATTCTGACATAGGTTTTTATATGTATAGTTTGCAAAGAATATAGTGATCAGGTCTCTCTTTAATTTTCTAACATGATTTGTGGATATCATAGGAAGTACATTGTAAGCATTCGAGATGAAGCTAGAGGGGTTTCTGGTACAATGCCATAAGCACCCTGGAGCACATAGTCTACATTTACAATGCAAGACTTGTAAGACTCTTTGTTTAAGAGAATTATAATCAACACTTGCTGGACTCTTTCTATCACACATCACCTATTGATGCCAAGTCTTCACCTCATGAAGAGTATAGCGTGAGCTGATCCTCAACTTTTCAGATACAGAGGCCACTACTAGATAAGATATCACTTTTGTGGTGTGTGTTTCTCACCTTTCAGCAGATCAACATGTGTATGTGGGTGCAGGTCTGCAGAATGCAAGACCTCTAGTTGTACCCAGATATCCAGCTAATGAAAACCTTGTCAAGCTTGGATAAAATTTACATATCACTTTCAAGAAGCATAGAGAATATGCAATTGGGTGTTCTTTGAGTCAGCCTTGAATCTACCATCAAGTTACAAGTATGACTATCATCTGCGTGATATGAACCTTCTTATGGCAGTATTGAGGAATAACAGTCTTCATAATAATGTCCTCTGGATGTACTTGCTGATCATATTCTTCTAGTCTAGTGATAACTTATCTATGTCTTATGATCTTGATGTCAAATTGTGGGTGATATAATCATGATCCTGGAAATGTCTTTTTATTCCATTCATCTTATTTGATTTATTTTCCAGTAAAAAGACGGTGTAACCGTATTGAGACCAAAAGGTTTCTATCAGTGGCTAAAACTTGTTGTTCTTATCTTCAGTCCATGCTATTGACTACATAAGATAGCGTGAGCAATACAGGTCAATGACGAGGGAGCAAGTCCCTGCACTGCTCATGAGATTGATAAAACACAGAAACATTTCGATATAGGATGACATTATCCAGTTCAAATTTTGTTCCAGCAAATGAAATTCCTATGCTTCCTATGCTTGAGAGCTATTTGGTTGTTGTCTTTTGGAACATAGCAATGAAGAAAGGGACGTTGGATTCTGTTGAATGCTCAACAACTGATCGTTGGTTGACTTTCGCTGGATGTCAGTGCCGAGTTGGTGCTAAAACATTTCAAAAATTTACTCAGAGGTTTTCGTTGTTTCAGTTGTCATCTGAAAACAGAAACTAGTGAGAAGGTAGCCACTCTCCAAAATTGGCTTGCGTGATAACGTCACGTAACGTAAACATATAACTGTATGTTCAAATCAAATATCTAGCAAGAGTTAAATTTTTTAGCTGAAAAAGGAAACATTTTATCAATGGATCTGATCTTCATTCAGCAGACTAAAATCAATTTATTTTCAAATGTTGCTCTATTATAAACTGAGTAATGTAACCCCGGTGATTCCAGGTAAATTCTCCTTACTTCGAGATAGTTTTTACGAGCTTGGTTGTTATCAATAAGTCCGATTTTAAGAACGTGTTTCAGCATAACTTGCTATGCGGAAAGATTCCGCATAGCTAGCATTAACTAGCCCGTGACTGTCTTTCCTAAACTGAGCTCTCGCTTAGTGCAGAATGCTCTTCAAGGAGAATCCTGATGTTTGGCAATTTGCAAACTTAGGTAGTCGATTCCTTTTTCGTCTTCTTCAAGATGCTGTTCCGAAATCACTATCCATCTTCATCTCCAGGCCGAGCTTGGATACATCCCTGTTACAAGCAGCAACAGTGGAAATGATATTCCTTATAATTTGTTATTGCTTTCAGTTTTGAAGATAACTACCTACTCCTAAATGAACTACATAAAATTTTTCTTCAACTTCAGAGCATAAATTGGTCCACAAATCTCGTAAGTTGTAGCTACAGC